TTTTCAATGCAATAGCTTGTACCCACTCACGAAACATTACCGTTAAAAAAACCCGGACCAAGTTATCTTGGGTCGTCGTGTAACATGAATCTCACACGCACTGAAACCTATATGACCCCATAAGACAGCAATTTGCACTTCTAAAAGCTGGGGAAATGTCTGTATTTCAGCAGTTCGGGGGCAAAAGACGTCTCTTCAGTTAAAAAGACAGCGCAACAAATCGGGAAGCCTTGCGTTATTTTTCAAAACGCAGTCCACACTGAAGCGACGTCAAGAAGGTTTCCTTTACAACGGCTTTTTTTCGATTTTTTTTCTCGAAAAGCTATTTATTGCAAAGCTAGGAAATGGGATACAATTGGCACACGGGGGTACGAGCCAAGAAGTCGCAGGGCCCTTGAGAATCCCTCCTGTCGCGGGAAGGGGATTCCGCTTCGATACACATCCGTTCCATCTCCGCAGTTTCTGGGTCACAATTTTCGGCAAACTCGCCGAAGCGCTTCAGTTCATGGTCTCATCCATTTGGGTTCCTGCACGGAAAACAGGGCACACCCAACTTCGATCGATACCCAAGAATACGAGTCGGGGTTTCAACTTGAATAAAATATAAACCCCCCCCCTACCCCCAAATAAGTTGAGCTAAGAAAAGAATGGGTGCGGCCTGAACTCTAGAATCTAGATGGTTTTCGTGCACAGGCCCGCACAGACACGAATAGCGTTCCATTTTCGGGGTAATGCGTGAAAATTGGGTTCACTTGAATTCGAAAGATGAACTAAATTCACGTTTAAAATCGTGAAAAGTTGGCGATCTGTTGAGTGCTACGCAAAAATAAATACCGTACCGTATTTACTCGAGTACCACGCGCACCTTTTTTGCCAAATTTCAGAAGAAAAAAGTGGGTGCGCGTCATAAGCGGGTACAGAATTTTCAAGAAGTTTTAGGAAGTTATGTGTGCATTACACTTGATTATAATGGAGAAATTTGGAGCAAGTATAAGAAGAAAACATTTTTGTACTGAAAAAGTTAAAAATTGATCAGATTTTTGTTCAATTCACGCCTAAAGTCAAATTTTTGGTTTTTATTTTTGCAATTTTATGGTTTTAGATTCACTAAAAATTGAGGTGCGCGTCTTACTCGGGGATAAGATTTTTGCAAAATTTTCAAAAGAAAAACCCCTGTGCGCGCCTTACTCGAGGGCGCGTGGTACTCGAGTAAATACGGGGTAATAATTTCGGGTTTGAGAAAATGTTAGTGAATTAATTCATCGAACGGATGCCACCCCATAATTTTTCCGAACAAAAGTAAAATATTTCAAGTTTTCATTCGACACGCGTTGCAATAACATCATTCCTCCGGCACTTCTCAACGCCAAAAGTTCGGCCTCGCATCTTCGAACGAAGAGGGAAGTACTTAACTCGCCGCCTTCTTTTTTTTTTGCAAACCAGCATTAACTTTCAAGGGATAGCTAGAAAATATACAAGGCGTACAAAAGGCTGTGGCCTTTTTTCAGGTCGTTGGCAGAAGAATAGAAAGAACATTTGTGAATTGTCCAAAGCAACTCAAAAAAATTACCCACCAACAAGGCGGACTTCGCATCATGATGCGACAATGCTCTCAAGTTTACAGAAAGAACCCAGAACCAGACGGAAATCCGGACGACGCGGAAACGATGGTAATTTAATTGTGATTGTCAGGAACATCTCTCCGAATCAAGAATAATCCGCAATATCAATTAGTGAAGCAGACTAATACATACGAGTAATTGAAATGTATTACTCGTGCATGACGAAGATTTCCGGACAGCCAAATACGGTTTATATTCCGACGGAAAGCCCAAGAGCCTGGAATAGCACAGACTAGTAAAATAAGTCTTATATTTTCTCAGGAATGTCTATGAAACGGGGGGAAAAAACAATTTAAAATCGGAACGTGCGAAGATCAAACCAGCAGATACACAAACAGGAAACGCTATTCGCGGGACAGAATAAACATTTGAAGAATGATTTTCAAGAAACAAAGAGTGAATGGAAAAAATCTTGCGGTTTCACGCCTCAGCAATTCTCAACCTGAATATAATCAAGTACTACTTTGCGTGCCACGCACACGTTTTCCAATACCACAAACGTCATGCATTCATGTGCCACACACACTCACAATGACGAGAAGACAGTTCAGCAAAAAAAAAAAAAAGAAGCTTGAAAGGAGGAACACGGAATTTCCTTCAAGTTTCATGCCAAGGGATCATATGCTCACTTTTTTTTTAATATATAGAAAAGAACCTGACGTCTCCCACGGGTTTCCCGGACATAGTTTCCTTCCAGAATAAATTTGTTGTGAGTCATTATGGGAGCGAGTCTGGCCCCATCAAGGAGCGAGTCGCGTTTACAAAGCAAGCAAATAGATGATGATGATCCCTTGGTTATTCATCATCACTTGAACAATAAAATTCAAATATAAAAGTATAAATGCATTACATATTACTCAACGATAGGATGCATTTTCAGAATAAAGAAAAGTCGAGAAAAACAAAAAAAAACGCGAGGATCGCAGTACAGTATACTCAAGATACTGTACTCGTTTATAGTCCGCAGCCTCCGTACTGAAGCGTATTTCTCAAAATATAGATATAGTAATCATTCATTTGTATACAAACTTGCAAGATGGAACAAACAATGCTTCGAAATTTATAATGCTGCACGAAAAACAAGCATTGTTCAACCTGCCGAGTGTCGCAACAGCAAAAAATGATTATTCAGTTCGTGAACCTGCAGTTTAAAAAAACCTCACAGTTCACATGGCATTGTTTACGTCTGTAGACAGGCCCTAATTAACTCGCGTATTTTGTTTTCCTTGAAATGGTGACCCCAAAATCATTATGAGGTCTGTCCTCGCAAGACAGCTAAAACAACTATTGTATATTCGAATAAATACTGTTGTGCAGTTACTTTATGTAAATATAGTGTTTTGCAATAAGCGCGTGCAATTTTCCAAGATTTTCATAAATACGGTAGAACTTGTTACTCGGGATATTTACGAGGTGTCTTACTCCGAATAATCAATCATTCCCAAAATCGCATTCTGTACTGACGACGTGCTGTTCAGCCAATTTAAACGAATTCGCGTACATCTTTCTATTTTCAGCGGTAAAATTTTTAATAGCAAGTCAAGGCAATCAAAAACGGTACTGCGGCTTAAATTGGGCTTAAATACATGAGGATCGAAAAGTAATTCAAGGCACACAAAATTTTGGAAACCATACCAAGACGCCAAAATATAAGACGAGCAACTGAAATGGGATCTAAAGGGATCAATTAATCAATTATTTTCCACAAGAGTTAGAAAGGGGTGGTTTAAATTTGCCAGCATAAAAAATACGAGCAATAAATGTTCGTAGGATTTTCAACACGACAAGCATGATATGATGACTTCAGAGAAAAAAAACGGAGTACTGCAGACATCTTCCTCAAAGATAAGCCTCAGGCAACGACATCGAAATCTGTCACATGGTTCCTCCCGTCGGCATAATCAATACAAGATCAAGAACCGTTTCCAACAAACGCATGGCGGAAAGAGCCCCCCCCCCCCCCCGCAAATGAACTTCCGGCAAAACATAGCCGGAAACGGCACAAGAGACCTCAATCACTGGTACACAAAGCCGAACTTTCCACAACTATCCCAATTTCCGTTTGATGTCTGGTTCAAATGATCCAAGTCTCAAACCCCACACGAAAACCCCTTTCATATAATAAAAAAAAGAGACCGCAAAGATCAAAGGGTGTTAATTGGACCGTCAAGGAATATCCCAAAACTCTCTCGTCCGCAGCACCTTAATGAGGCTTTCAATGGACCTCTTCCTCGACGGATCAACGTTTCCCAGTAATAAGCCAACTTTCCTGGCGGTCGGAATCCACGCAATTTATGACCCCAGCGAATTCGCAGGCTATCCAATTTTCTTCCAAGCGATACAATATACAAGCGAGCAGCCCACTGCTTCTGGGTTTCATGACCGCGGAACCCCTTCAACGAGCTCAGTATTCGCCCAGAGGAAGGATTTTGGCAAGAGTCCCCCCCATACGTCGGTGTACCAAATTCAACAAATTCGAGGGTAGAATACTGACTGGAGATTACAAGCCGAGTAAATCGGAAATTAGGCGGAAAATTGCGGCTTACGGACCGGAAAAAACAGTGCTAATTCATGAATAACATGCCGTTGTCAAGAATATATTCAACCATTTTCACAGGAGGCAGCAAAGCAATTATGGGTTTATTTTTTTCAAGTAAAGCATATATAATCCCGCGAAACGAGATTACAGGCTTTCTATTAAAATCTGATGAAGTATTCATCTCAAAGGTTGACGTTTTTTTTTTTTTAGAAAAGAAAACGATTAACATTTAACATACGAAACGTATCAACACAATACCAGTGTAACAGCAATGGTTGTTTCGAGACACTCAGTCCATAGTGAGGGCATGACACTGCTGATTCTTCGTGGTTCATGGGTTGGTTTCTGGGTTCATTTAGGAGCTACGATTTCAGGGTGGCTGGGGTTATTCAGTTTAAAGAGGAGAGAAACACCTTGAATTTTAGGTCTTTATCTCTGTTGCAGTTTTTGCTGTGGTCCAGAATTTTTAATCCTTGGTCAAGTTTGGAATTTATTCCGTAAAAGCGTTGCGTGAGATGTTCTAAATTTAAAATTTAACAAGCAGAAAAAAATTTTGATCCGTCGTGCGAACAGGTTTTCTCAGAATTGCTTCACGGAAGGCATTAACATATTCTGTAACACTCGGAAAAAACCGTCGGACAGTGCATGAAACCCGACTCTATACAAATCAAATGAACATTCACACAAAAAATAGGTCATTTCGCGGGTATCCAGTGCTTGAAAAACCCCCCCTACACTGGCGTCATTCACTTCATCTACCATCACCCATTTCCGCCGTCGCAAGGCTCGCTTCTCTCCATTCCAACAGCATGCACACAAAAGCCTCGCATTACCCTTGATCACGAGCAAAGAACCCCGTTGGAATTCGAAATGTCTCCCTCGTCCTTATAAGGCACTGTATATTTGAGAAATGAAATTTCTGCAAGCCCCATACTCCCGAGGATGCTCCTGCCAATCATTCTTATACTGTACTATCCCATGTTTCCCCAAAACGTGAGACAGGTCTTGCATAAAAACGTACATCAGGAAATTTACAGAGCCTGTTTTCGTTCCAGACTTACATGCTGGGGTGAACGGGAACATTATGGACGGATTTTAAAAATTTACAATCGAAGACGATTTGAGGCTGAACACGTGAAATTTTCATTCCTAAATTTTCCACTGAGAGCGGCCATAAAATGATTTTTTTTTGCGATTTTTACTGAAACAATTCATTCGAATCTAAGGGTTCCGTTGATGGGATGAACTTCGTGAGACCATTCAAGCCGCGAGAATAAGGTAAGGGCAAGCGTGTTTTTAAAGCATTACTTTTTATTGAAACGTGCGTTTGAAAACCAAAGCATTTGAAACAATGGTATTAAAATAATTAAAATTATAATTTAATGAGTTTAAGCCACAAAGCGACAGCATGAACCGTTAATAAGAAAAATATATCACGGGCAGAAACTAGGCCTTGGATAATGTTTTAGAAGAGGAAAAAAAAAAGGGAATGAACCATTGCTCTTGGAAAACTGCAAAATCGACTTGAATCATACACAAAATAATCACGGGGAAAATTTGAAAATGACAAAATATGTAGGAAAGTTTGTTCTAAAAACAAAATAACATTTTCGATTTCTTGTCTGGCCTGAAAAAGTTTGAACAGCTCAAAACATGAGTGAAGAACTCGCTCCGTAACGGGACATTTTTCAGTAAATTATTATTTTTTTAAATAAAAATCCGGGGGGAAAATCGCTGAATCTTACACTTGCATGGGTTAAAACTAAATCATACATTTTTTGTTTTGTTTACAGAGGTGCCTACTCTAGAAATAGCCAAGGTCAATCAGAAGTGGGACAACCCTCGTAAATCCAGACAAACAAGCACAAACCAGCGACAAATCTTATCATCCTAGTAATTTAAAACCGCTTTCTAAAATTCAAAGTACAGTGATTTAAAATTACTTTCAAATTCAAAGAATTTGAAAGGCATTCAAATATAAATTGATTTGAAAAGCGGTTTTAAATTTCACTATGAGAAACGTGACATAGAAATAACTAAGTAAACAAAAGCAGGGAATAGATATCACGATCAAAAGCACGGCGGGAAATCAGGTCATCCGAGGGAAAGAAAGAAGGGAGTTTGAGCGAGGCACTAAACAAATAATGCTAGCTACACGACAGAAGTTCGTTCCGCAGTTCGTGAAAGTCACTCTTAACTTCAAGTGCATGATTCCTGCCTTACAAAGTTTGACATCAAAGCATGATGTTTGCCCGACATTTCATATCATGGAGCTGACAACATACGAACATTTCCCCACGGCACAGAACCGAAATCAAGGAAATACCACGCGATAGAATACGTAATTTTCGGAATCAAGAAGAGAACTAACGTGAAAAAAATGATAATTCACTCACCGAGTGCTTCCAGTTCTGTCTTCTCCACGAACGGGTCAGCATGGGGCAACTGCAACGAAAAGAAAATCGATACGTATCAATAAACAAGTCAGGATGATTATTTTTTCACGAACTCCAGCGTCACGCGAAAGAAACCCTCCAGACCCATAAATCATCCAATCAATAATTCGAAAGTCCCCGCAACACGGAAAACGGTTATCTGAGACGCATTACATTGGGCTCACGAAAATCAATTTCCAGGATGGAATTACATTCCGAGACCTTTTACGGAATTCACGAGAATCATAAGACGCATTTCGCTGGATTTCCACTCGGAATTATAATACGACGATCCACTCGAAGGCTAACAGATATCAAAAATTTTAAATTATGAAAACTTGGAAAATTCGGCCATATTTGACCGAAGTTTACAAAAAGGGGATGAAGTATTCTATAAAAGTAAAACATAATTCTTTTTCAGCCGTTGGAGAGTATTTTTATTCCTCAATATTTTTAGAGCATGAGCGTACTTCAAAATTTTTCTCAGGTTAATCTTCGATCACATGAAATGAAGAACAGTCTTGCGGCAAACACAAAGCTCTTGAAAAACATTTTTTGAAGATTAATTTCATCATTTCTAGCGCAACCAACGTGAACATCTAATTTTTAATATTTAGAACTTAATTGTATCAAGATCGATAGGATGATGACTCAATGATGTGAAACATTAACTGTAAGACTTTTCAAGCTTGTATAAGACCCGCGCTCCTACAGATATCAAAAATTTGAAATTATGAAGACTTAGAAAATTCGGTCATATTTGACCGAAGTTTACAAAAAGGGGATGAAGTATTCCAAGACTTTTGAGCACGGCATTTTCACGTTTTCGTGAATCCTTAACGGCCATCAAATAAATACCAGAATCCCCAATCATGTGCAATTTTTCCGGATAATTTTTTTCAAACTTTCTGGGCCAGTCGTCCAGGTGGTCCTGAAATGGGGTCCCACTCGATACCAATATTTCAAAAGGGTTTAAGAATCAAATCAACAATCTCCTAAGCAGAGAGATGAGCTTCCCACGACCTTGACAAGGCACCGGGCTGCCTCATTTATTCTCCTACAAATTTCCTTGAATTTCACAAGTCAGTCGGGCTGAGTCATGATTTTCGTCTAAATTTATCGCAGTTTTTCTTGTCGCATACAAAATGGGGTTTCGACCCAAGATTCTGCTCTTGGCTGTGATCATCACCACGGCCTTGCTTTGGAGCTCAGTGGCAGACGCCAAAGACTCGACAGGAACGAAGCAACGAACCGGGTCCAAAGTCCCACTGTCCCCAAATGCTCGACTTCGCGGACAACAACAGCAAAAACAACGAGATGTTTTCTTCGCAGCTTATCAAATCGGGGTTAATGGAGCCTTTTTTCAAATTTTAAAAATCAGAATTGAAATAAGATTTTTGCTTCGTATTCACAGGAAGGTATTCCGCGGTGGATTTGGTTAACGTGCTTGTGGTCAATCCTGCTTTTGGCGTGCACAGTCGTCGCGGTTTCTTACGTGCTCGGAGCAGTTTTCCACGTCTTCAGCAAAGATATCAAATTGAGTTTCGAAAAGCCAGTGAGTGAAGATTGTCACTTCCGACAATTATTGCGGGCTTCGTGTTTTCTAAAATTCAGGAAGTCGTTCGACCTTCATTTTTGGCATAAGCAGCTCACAAATTTCTATTTACTTAAAAGAAAACAAAATTTCGGAGCTATCCTAGTTGGGGGGGACCCAGACTACTAGCTCCATCTACGAAGAACAGTGCGTACACCCTTTCACGCGCGCTTAGCCCTTATACACTCCAATTCTCCAACAGCCCTGCGGTGCTGCTGGTGAGGCATACTATCCTCAGCCTTGCCACCGGTCCGATTTTATTCTCTGTGCATAGGTACAAATCCAACTGTGCATTTGAATTAAAATGTGAATTGACACTGCCACTGTTATTTCTGATTCTGCTGAGACTGAATTTGGGGGGCAGTTAGGTAAAGTTAGGTTATATTTTAGTTAACATTAATACATATTTTAACTAACATAACCTGACCTAACCTAACTTTACCTAACCGCCCCCCAAATTCAGTCTCAGCAGAATTCCAATAAAACAATGCAAGTGTCAAGTTACGTCGAAATTCACAGAGTCAGTATAATGAATTAGAATCAAGAATAAAATGGACTGATGGTAAGGCTGATGATAGCATACCACAGGATCAACAGAACAGGGTTGATGAATGAGTGGAGTGTGTCCGCCAAGAACGTTTCGTGTGCCGTTCTTAGCGACATCTATATAGACGTGGTTTTGCGCTTGGGTCCCCCAATCAAGGAAAGTCATGTCATTCATTTACGCTTCAACCTGTCTCTTATTTTAATACGGAAAAACAAAGTTTTCTAAGTTCTTGAACTTTATGACCGTACTACCAAACAATGGAACAGCTTATAACATGAAATAAGTCTGCAGTTATTCAACTTTAAAGCGCGATAGTAGAAGAAAACATGCGAACAGCTTAAACTTTCCCAATTTTTCCGGCATTCGTTCCATAAAATTGGGGCTAAATTCAGCACCAAAACAGACATTTCAAGAACAGAGAAAATACTTTCCGAGTCTAACTCAACCCAACGCTAAGATATTACTTTTAACAGTACACGGACCACCAATGGAGAAACCTCTTTTCATATGCCTCTCACACGTTATTTCAAAGAGACCAGAAAGTAATGAGCGACACATTCGTCTCTTGCTGGGGATATCACGAAATTGAACACGACAGGTGGAAACGCGCGGAAGAAAACACAGTACGGTACAGTATATTGAAGCTGAACTTCAGATGATAAAGCTCGTAGCAGCAGGGATAATCCGAGCATATTGGAAAATATACGAGGAGTTTCTCAAAAGTCTTGGGAATCGCACGAAAATCTTCATAGCAGATAGCAGACGTATTAAACAAAAGCATAAAAAAATCAAAAATGTATCAAGTTCCGAATATTTTATTATCTGCACAGAACACGGAAAACAAATTACCGAATCTGTTTTGTTTTATATACGGACTTTCTGTTTCGAATAATGCGTGTGGGACATTTTCTTCTATCGTTTCTTTTCTCAAGGGGTTCTCTGCCAGCCACAAACATGAATTGCGAATTCTAGAAAAGAATAAACTATTCCCACTACTTTATCACGACTTCGAAAATTGGCTTTTCAAATGGATGTATTTTTCTTGAAGAAAGGTGCGGAAATACGTTTCGTGCGTCCGAGAGAAATACATGCATACTGATTGCAGCCATTTTGAATAAGGCCCCCCGAAAACACCTGCACTTGTCTTCTTGATGCTTTCCCAAAAAAAAAAAAGTCTCACCGAAATATCTACGTGAAAGCTTAATTCATGATGCTTTCCATGGATGAAAAGTAGGACCATCGAAAGGTTTCTGGCGGCATTTTCAACTGAAATAACATTTTTTTAAATCATCAACTAAAACAGTGAAATCTCGAAGCCAAAAGTCAAATCAAAAATTTCTTGGGATTCCCCGAGGGTATTCATGTGGAAGACCTCACGATGACAATATCACAGTACAGTACTGTACTCGTTTCAAAAATGTTCACTGCTTCTTCTGTTATTATTTTTTTCATCACAGGAGAATTTCAAGTATGACAAATTGGAGCAAGAATTTTGCGACAACCCGATGAGGGCTCTCAAGTGGTCTCAGGGCCGGGGACTCCTGAGGAAGGATTGCCCCCTGTGTTACCAGAGCGTCAATCCCGAGTTTTCGGCGGATGACCAGGTTAGCTTCGACGGAAGGATCACGTGCCCCAGTTGCATGGCCCGGGTTCAGTTCCTCGACTGTTCCTGGTTCGACCCGCTCGATATCGACGTTTGGAAGGCGATTGGAATTATGCACCACTGGGCCGCTGGGGTAGATATCAAGGTTCGTTCCTATGCTATGCTAATTACGAAACTAATGCCCCTCATGCGTGGATTTAGAGGATTAATCCCGAAATCCAACGTCGTAATCTTTTACAATAACCGACGAATCCTTTCATGTATTGAACCAGATTTCAGTCTGAAAACTATATTTTTCAGTACAGCATCGTGCCAAAAGTAGGATCATCCGAAAAGCCTAGAATTCCGATACACACGTACACAAAAGACCAGAAAGGATACCAAAAATATTTTGACAGGAACTTTGTCCCCTGGTAAGCAAGTATCCCAATCAAAATAATCCGCGGGACCAAAAAACAAACTTGATTCCTATTCGCCGAAAATTTTAGTTCAGACTTATAACAATTCCTGCTAAATAGTGAACTTCTCGGGCAGCCTTAACAAAGGAGTATCATCAAATTAAAAATTTAAGATCATGGGCATTGTTGTGAAGACGAAATACTCAAACTCTTGAACTGCCAAAAAAATGCATGTCAAGCCCTAGTTCTGAAAATGAAATCCCACCGTCTTTCGCGAATTGGGTACACTCACAACTTTATTCCTCGGTTTATAGGGGCAAGAAGATGGAAAACACAATACAACCAGAACTAATGAATTAACCCCCCCTGTGCCATACTATACCGTATTTAAAAACGACTCATATATCCAAATTCCGATCTTCCATTAATCTACTTTCGACTGTATTCGTTTCAACTTCAGAACAAAAATACCGAACCGAAGTCACGATCCAGGCATCAACAAAACTAGTTCACAATCAATTAAACAAAAAGAATTCCGTTACATCCGAAAGAATTCCGTTACATCCGAAAGAATTCCGTTATATCCGAAAGTATTCCGTTAAATCCGAGTTTGAAGAGGAAATAAATGAAAGCTCGAAGAGCTCTTTGCTCGTCGAATTCGACCATTTTCTGTTCAAATCTCCCTCAATCGGTAGAGAGTTTCGGAACGTTGCCTAATACACATATATGTCACTGGAACTTAGCTGAAGCGGACATGTTTCTTTTCTCTAAAAATAAATCCATGAAAAAAGAACAAAAAAGCCTCTTTCACCGGACTAAACCTTCAATTTCCCCGAAGGAATGTCCCAGCGGGGAGCTTCACGTTAAGCATACATTCAATGTAGAAAGACTCAAAATTCTCCCGACATCAATCAATCAATCAAATGTACATGAAAGAAACTCTCGTTCCACTCCTTAACATATCCAGACTGCGTCGAAAAAATTGCTGCTGGACGACGACACGACAGCCAGTTGGTACATGAAATGCATGGAAGTCGCACAATGCACTTTGCAGTTGTGCTTCAGCGACTCCATCATCGCGGATAGAGACCATTACAGATCGCACAGACTCACGATCGCGTGTCCACATTACCGCATCGGCGGGCCCAACAAGGTCGTGGAATTCAAGATCGCCAAGAAAAATGAGATTTTCAAAAACTACGCGGTTGTTGTGGCCATTGAACGGGACAGTTTGCGAAACATCGTGCTGCCAACAAAGGTGGTGAGTCCGAGAGGGATGCTCGCCTTCATCAAGGAGCGAGTTTTGGACGGCACGAAAATCATGTCGAGGTGAGTGTGGTCTCAAAAATTATAAGATTTTTTTGTGGTCAAAAATTATAAAGATTTCTTTTTGTGGTCCCATGGGGTTCTCTCCCCAAGTTTATAGGGGTTCTCTACAACGAAATTCTTTCAAAAAATATTTTTTTCCTGGTCCTTTGATTTTCGTTGAGAGATTCAACCTGTACAGGATGATTGCGAAAAAGCATCTTCATTTTGGAGAAATGAAAGGAACATTAACCCGTGATCATATCCCGAGAATAAGCTCGGAAATTAGTTGAAAAATATTAATCTTCCCTCAGCGTCGAGCGAAAATAGCTAGCTGATGAAATATAATTACACTCCCAATTTTCTCACTCGATGAACATTCTTCCGCCATTAAATTTTCTCCAAGACCCCCCCCGGAAGCAAGTACTGTACTATATTTTCCTCCCCGAAACATTCAAATCTAAATTCATGAATTTCCACAAAATGGAAGCCTACATTGCATGTTAAGTACGGCATTAAAGTATTTTTGCATTCTAGGCGCCATCGATTATGCGACGCACTTTAATTGCATTGCACTTGATCAGAATCATAATTTCATGCTTTTACTTACGCTCCGAGGAATTTTACATCTCGGACCCCTCATCAGAAAATGATTGCGAATATTTGCAATGCAGATGCAGAAATTGTTTTACTTGAAAATATGCGTTCAAACGCAACAGCGCAATTTTCAAGCAATATCACAGACTTCATTGAATATAAAACGGGACACAAATAGTGAGGCCCCATTCTTCGAAGCGAACCCCTAGACTGGAAACTGTCTTAAATTCGAGTAAATACACGTATATAATTTACCGCATTGCGAAATAAAAATCCGTCGGGGACGTTGGAGACTTGAAAGACAGACAGCACAGAAGTTATATGACGCCCCGATTTATTTATTTTTCGTTGACACCTTAAGTTATTATGTTTTCGTTGACGCACGCTCCATTCTATTTTTTGTTGACGTGCCAATTTCTTTTTTTTTTTTTTTGGCACCATACAGATATTTCGAGGACGCCAACGTGCCTCTCCCAGCAGGCCAGTACAAAAACTTCCACGTGCCCGACGCCGGCCGCCCCCGCGACAAAACCACCGGCGAAGGGATCCACCTCGACACCGCCGACGACATGCTCGAGTTCCTGGGCCAACAGTTGGGCACTGCGACCCAACGAGCAGTCTCGACACCGCTCCAACTCCTGGCCATCTACTCGGCCCAGTTTGCCTGGCGTCGCACCTATTTGCCAGACGACGACAGCGAACACGACGCCGCGTTCCAACAATTCCTCGGCCACGTTCGACGCGCATTCCCAGTGGTGAGTTCCTACTATGACGCGGACGTGGACGAGGATGAGAGAGAGGAGGAGGAGGAAGAGGAGCCCGTGATGCCGTCGCAGGCGGCGGCGGCCAGAAGTGGCGCCGGCGACGGAGAAGATGACGACGATGAGGAGGAGGAGGAGGAAGATGAGGATGAGCAACAGCAGCAGGAGCGAGAGAGGGGGATTGAGGGCGAGGAAGAGGTCGCTAGCAACGACTAGACACGCGATTGCATGATTTGGATATTCCGTTCCAATCCCATTAGTATTCTGGTTACGGAATTGTATCAATATTTATTGAATTGATCTTCGATTCCGCTGGATTATTATTTCTTTTTTTTTTATTGTTGTGAACAAAATTTCTTAAACATGTCGTCGGTTGTCTCACAGAAACTTCGCGCATCGAACTCGAGGCTTTGAACGTACACAATCTGGTTCACTTATCAATATTCGAGTGGATGTGACAGATGAACAAAAATCAAAAGATCTGTAAACAGTTTTCACCTTAATCCAAGTCCAATCGCGATATCCATTCCTCCCGGATTCAAAATACATGTTATCGCATCTGATATGCTACTCTTGCTTCGAAATTACACATGAAAACCACTATGAATATATAAAAAACTCACGTCGCAGAAGCATCAATAGAATTTGGGCTGTTCCTCATTCATTCCACTACCATTTAACGACTTACCGATCCGAAAGAAATATAGATTTTTCAACAACGGCAGCCTCTGTGCTTTCCTGCATGACGTTTAGGTTAGTAGGGATTATTTAACTGTAACGACCGCCAAAATCTTTCTTTGAAAACTATACGTGCTTAAGTTCCGTGGCGCTTTTGACAAAGAAAGGAAAACCAAATAATAAAATTGGATTCGAATGACGTGTTACGTGCTGCTCATGGGTCAACTTGGGATTACATTGCGTCATACAGGACAAACCATCGAAATGGAGAGAAAACCAGTTCATAGGAAAACGACTTCATCGCACACAGGAAGAATGTCAACTGTTCTGCTTTATATGACATTCCGCGGTTTTATCTAAATCAGAAAATTCCCTTTCGCGGCAATAAAAATTTGAAATTATCCTCTAGACAGAACCTTCGGATCAGCGGATCACTCCACAATCGAACAAATTTGCACATCGTACAACCCATATGGCCAACCAGACCAGAAGCGCGATTTGGAACCTTGCCAGCGATTCAAAGAACGTGATGTGCTCTTCCATGACCGGATTTCTGTTGATGAATCTGACATCCACGCATCTGTTTTTCCATTGCATTATTGCGTTTTTCTTCAGAATTATTTTTCTCTAGCCAAGGAACGTCAGAAGAATGAGGGTCATCTAAACAATAATCCCAAACTTCCAATTATCTTGGCTTATGATTTCCTCCGATAATAAACGATTCTACGGACAACCGAATCCTGATTTAAAAATATGATCATCGGGTGATGAAATACTGTATCAGCGATAAAAAAAATTAATTTAATTATCTTTCACAAGCTAGCCCATCACAGGGAATTCCAAATGAAAACGTTCAAATTTACGGTCAGCTCCGTTTCCTTTCAATGAATCAAAATATGGTTTTGGCCAATGAAAAGATCGGATTATCGGAATTTTTACCTTCGTTAAAAGAAACACGAATCCCGTATACATTTCCATGGTTAATTGCTGTCTTAAAACCACGTTTCTGGAGAAAATTCCAAGGCCTTGGCATCAACAAAATAGAGTGAGCTAAGAAAAAAAAACCATTCGAACAGTCGAGAAACGAATTTTTAAGTCAGATAATTCAGATGAACAATGAGAATTCAGATGGACAATGAGAATTCAGATGAACAATGAGTATGCAGATAAACAATTAGAATTCAGATAAATAATTAGAATTCAGATAAATAATTAGAATTCAGATAAACAAAGAGAATTCAGATAAACAAAGAGAATTCAGATAAACAAAGAGAATTCAGATAAACAAAGAGAATCCAGATAAACAAAGAGAATTCAGATAAAGAGAGAATTCAGATGTCTGAACATTAAGATTATAAAATCTGAGAATTAAGCTAAAATCTGAGAATTAAGCTAAAGTCTGAGAATTAAGCTAAAGTCTGAGAATTGAGCTAAATTCTGAGAATTGAGCTAAATTCTGAGAATTAACAAAATTATAAGAATTAAGATAAAGTATGAGAATTAAGATAAAGTATGAGAATTAAGATAAAGTATGAGAATTAAGATAAAGTATGAGAATTAAGATAAAGTATGAGAATTAAGATAAAGTATGAGAATAAGATAAAGTCTGAGAATTGAGATAAAATCTGATAATTAAGGTAACATCTGAGAATTGAGATACAGTCTGAGAATTGAGATACAATCTGAGAATTAAGATACAATCTGAGAATTAAGATACAATCTGAGAATTAAGATACAATCTGAGAATTAAGATACAATCTGAGAATTAAGATACAATCTGAGAATTAAGATACAATCTGAAAATTAAGATACAATCTGAGAATTAAGATAAAATCTGAGAATTAAGATAAAATCTGAGAATTGAAGATACATTCTTGACTGCTTCATAGCTATACATATTATGCACACTTGAAGAAACGCGCAAAAACTCAAGAGAGGCGATGACAAATAACGGTTTTCATCAATATGCTATATCAGGCACCGCCGAACAAACTACGCACTTCTTTTCGTGCCTTTCCAGTATCAATTTTTCCGGCGAATCTAAAATGCAATTATATTGCTATAATTTTTTCTCCACAAGAAAGGAGTCCGTTGATTATTCTCTTCCAATTCATCTCTTTGAACACTGATTCCAACTCTTGCGCCAACTGCGGCCAGGATTGGCACAATTGGATGAAGAACAATTTTAAAAGATTCAAGTTGGTCGCAAGCATTTCTGCACTTCACCTGCAAATCTAGTACGCCATCAACGGTACAACGATTGTAAGGCGTATCCTGATTTTCGGAAGAACATTTTCAAAAAATAATATAATCTCATCATGTACAATTGTTGAAAAAAAAAGCCTTACTTCGGGCCTCTGTCCGACAGCGACGATGTTGAATGGGGCACAATTATACTGTAGTACTTTAAAACGAATTGTTCGTTAAACGGAAGCAAGTTCACCGGTCCCAGTGACTTGTTCGTAACGATATTTCCCAATAAAAAAATTTAAAAGTGCATCTCATACGTAGGTGAGCAGGTATAAGGGCAATCTCCAGGAGTACATCGGGTGCTGTAAAAGTGTCGAATAAACTGCAAAGGAAAGCCAGGGATCAAGTGAAACCCCACAAGTGCGGAAATGTTTCGCTTCCGATCAAGTGCCGCGGATTCCCAGAAGGAATCGCCGGCGGCCCAAAACCTTCAAACTGAACTCACCCGACGATTAGCGCTGTCAGCACTCAGGGACCTCTTGAGAAATCGCCTGGCAAGTACAATATTGGAGCGAAACCGACTCCTGGACCCAGTATTGGCTCGCTTGTACCTCGACATTGCACCACCGCCCTCAAAACACTTTTACAATGCTCAAAAGCACGACAAGAGCACCAGAATGAATAAATATTACAGGGTTTTTTTTCTTCTTCTTTTTTAATGAGAGGAAAGGATAACCAACTCGGCACGATCAGCTGCTGCTAGATACGCGGAATGCGTCGTAGGTAATACGGATCCAGGTCCGGAGGAACCCAGTGGTATACTTTAGTCCACACAAAAGAAGGCCGACGTGGCTGGCTGGTATGCGCGATGAGAGTGAAACCCGGGATCGGGGGAGGGGGGTGTGCTTTACGGGGTGGGGCTGAGGGGGTTTCAGTTCTCTTCCGGGAAACGTAGCTGCGTCGTGACGCGCATGGGCCGTCGACTAGATAGCGAGCGAACGACAGTTGTCGGGAGACGACGACGACCGACCGACGAACCGACCGACCGACGGCGACGACGTAGTGCAGGGAAGGCGAAGATAGAACTAGAAACTGCGTTCCTGCCCTTCGCCTTCCGTTTTTGCTTCCACTTTCGTTCCTTGACCCAAGTCTCGCGTGTGCACACGGGCGTTTCCACAAGTTTTTTTTTTTCTTTTCAGACTTGATGCGAGAAGGTTCTCAGCTTGTGTTTAGCTCGCACTCCCACAATGTGCTACCCCCGGAAACTCGTCGCACGTAGACGCGACACGATTAGAATAAAAATAAACACGCTAAAATTTAAATTTGCGTTGTTGTTAGAACTAATATATTTTCTAAATTTAAAATCATGGGTAAAACGACGAAATTTCGTTTTTTTTAAAAGCTGGCCTGACACATTTTTTGGCGCCCTGTGACATGAGTAAAGAATTCTGGCGGTAGCTGCAAACTTTTCACTCACCATAATGCAAGCAAATTGAAACTTTTTTTTTAATTTTGAAAAAAAAACAGGACTTTGGAACATCATGGGCTATCTCACGAATCTTCTTTTAGGATCATACTTACTCTAGAATTATCAGAGCCGCGTTCGAACCGGGACAACCCGAAGGTACATTGAAAAGGTAAATTCATCAAGTGATAAATTCTAATGGATCAATTATTAGTGCACTAAAGGTAGTGTATATAAGCACTCAAATGAGGGATTTAAACTAGAATTTATTCACAAAGAACTATGAAACAATAATTTGCAATAATGATCTCAGATTTCAAAATTACTTCTCCATATCAGAAATTTCGAACTCAGGAAAGTTGAAGGAGTAAAAAATGACATTATTACAGAAACTTGCCGCCAAAATAGGGTGTCTTCATGCAGACATTCAGTTATTCGTTTGGTAATACGTTTTCGAAAATATGAACAAAAGTTTCCCAGCAAAAAAAAAATAGATACTTCACGTCAACGTGATGTTACTTTCAAAACCTTTAGGAAAAGTTTTGAATGCATATAGACTCAGGCTTGAAAATTCCGCGTTTAAGGCAATCAAATACAGCGAAGTTAGCATTTGAGCGATGAAAATCAATTCGATAAAATCGATCGAGCATTGGCGCTCCAGCTTCATGTCACTTTGTACTCGAACCTATGCTAAATTTTCTAAAACTAAAATCACGGAATTGAATAAAGATATTTAGACTGAAACTCAAAAATTGGAAATTTAAAAAAGAATGTTATCTTTACAGATACTGTACAGTAGCAGGGTTGATCGGTTGTGAGTTTACAATGTTTCATGAAAGTCCGAGAACTTCCAAAACTACCCACGTATGCGTGCCCCACGTTCTACCTATATATTCTGCAACGCAGTAGTTTGTTCATTCGCCTCCCGATTCTTCGCCCGGGCTTTCGAATTTTCTTCAGTCGGGTGTCGGGTGGCCCATGGCATACGAAAGTTCGGGATACCGGCAAAATTCTCCACACGACAACCCCGAAAGTGAGGAGGCTTTCTTCTTTTCACCCGACCCCCATCACAAATAAGCCGGTTCCATGCGGATGCCATCGTCACTCACGACGCTTTCCTTTTGTATGCCTCTTTTACCTCATACCGACAGTATGCCGACGAACGTTGAAGAGCGAAATTGCGAGCGAAAATATGAAGAGGGAATACTTTCCTTCAATGAAATTCAATCAAATTCGGAATGACACCACCATGACAATTTCGTGGATCAAAATGTACGGACGCACAAAAATTTGCACCAGCTAAAGATCCCCATAGAGAGAACATTTCGTCGGTGGAAACTCGATCAAAACCGACTTCGTACTTTCAAATTCCATAAACAGTACAGTACTGTACTTGAAACGACAGAGTGAACAGACACCGAAGCCGACAATTTGAACCGAATATCAAAATTTCTTCGTCCAAATTATGAACTTTGTTACATAACCCTATTCAAATCGAGTTCAAACGAATTCAAGTCGAAACAAATACGATTGACTCGAGTGGTCGACTACAGCTGAAAAGGACCGCCTGAAATACAGTAAAATATTGTACTACAAGAAAGATGAAAGTCACGAATCAAGAAACATTCCAAAATGAAAAAGAACATCAAAGGTACATTTCTTCCATGAAACTCGATTCCAACTGAGTTTCGTGCGCTCAAATCGAATTTACTTGAAAATGGCGTCAACTCAGAATGCACAACACAAGAGGGAAAAAAACTCCAACATCATGAACAATAGCCCCAAAAAAGCAATTGACCGAGAAGAATTAAAATTATTCGTGGGTAACGAATTCCTTCCTTAGGGCTTCCTAAAAAATTTCTTTCGCGCAAAACACCACAGTCAAACAAAAAATACGAACAGGCATTTTTGGATGGACCCTCACTTCCCATGCATTTTTCTGCCAGTCGCAATAGAGGGCCCGACGAGGGCATTCACTGACTATTGTATGGCAAAATTAATCCGATCAATCTTGGTCAAAGCAGATTCATTTCCCAATAAATCCTGACCAACGCCGACGGACACCACGGGTTTTTCTTTTCTGCCTCAGGGGAATCGATACGCTACTGTATGAGCATAAACACAAGAACGGGTAAATTTCGGACGGTATGAAAACACACAATTAAATTCGCGCTGCAGAGAAACGGGACACTGGGGAAAAGTTGCGGGAATTCTGGACTCCCGTTTCTTCAACAAAATATTAGTTGAGGATCAGTCAGAATTAAAACTCGTTTCGACGTTACACTAGGCTTTTCTTCACTCACATCAATTCTAGATTAATCGCTTGAAAAAAATCAATTCATTGAAAAATGTCAAATTATAACACTACACTAACTACAGTAATGATAAGTGAAATGAAGAAAAAAATTCTCCTTCCTTGGTATACATTTAACAATCTGAAAATTGTTGTCGCCAACTCAAGAATTCTAATAAACAAAGGCAATTACAGTATCAGTTTGCAGCGCTAATTCCGAAGAGCAAGAAACTAATGATCCAATAACCAGTTGAAACTAGAAAAAAGGTCAGTCGCAGGCAGAGCTGCTTAATTAGTTTTGCAGATATCTCTGGAACCCCGCATTAATCAAATCAACGCACC